ACAGATTGACAGGCAGCAACACCTGCTTCTCTGAGGTCACTGCTGATGACTTTCCATCTTGGCATTGTGTTACCCCACACCTGTATGCAACAGAACCCTGAAGCCAGACCCGGACGGGTCAGTGAAGTTTCTGTTGACGGCCACAGAACCCAAGAGAGCTGTTTCCTGTTGTCAGAGGTTTCTGAACACATGGCTTCCTCAGAGACTCTCTCACTTTTAGGACGTTCATGCCATGACCACTGAGTCTTTCATGGCCCCTGAGACTCCCGTGACCCCTGAGACCTTCATGGCCCTTGAGACCCCAGTGACCCTCATAGTCCCTGAGACCCTCATGGTCCCTGAGACCCCCATGACCCCTGAGACCCTCATGGTTCCTGAGACCCCCATGATCCCTGAAACACTTGAGACCCATGTGACCCCTGAGACCCACGTGGTCCCTGAGACCCCGTGACCCCTGAGATCCCAGTGACCCCTATGACCTCTGAGATCCTCATGACCCCTGAGACCCTGTGAACTCTGAGATCCTCATGACCCCTGAGACCCCTGTGACACCTGAGACCCCCATGACCCCTGAGACCCTGTGAACTCTGAGACCCTCATGACCTCTGAGACTCCATGACACCTGAGACTCTCATGAGTCATGAACCCTGAGACCCCTGTGACCCCTGAAACTCCCGTGAAACTTGAAATCCTCATGGCCCCTGAGACCCCCATGACCCCTGAGATCCCCGTTACCCCCCAAAGGGCTGTAGAGAATCAGGAAAAAGACAATGTTTTTACTGTCCCTTTGAAACTGATAAAGTCATAATAATGGGGGATTTCAATATTCATGTAGATGTTGAAAGTGAAAGCTCAAGCATAGCCTTTAAAAATTTAAAAGAGTCATTTGTTTTTACCCAAAACATCTGAAAATCTACTTATTCTCATCATCACACTGTTGACCTGGATCTGACCTATGGCATTGAGATTAATAACTTAGTAATAGTTCCTCAAAGTCCTGTTATGTCTGACCATTTTTAAATTACCTTTGAGTTTACATTAAATGACTACACAGTCAAGGCTACCACATAGTCTGCACGGAAACTGCTTGCACTGTCCACAGACGGTTGACACTTCATACTCGAGCATCCACCCTGAGCGGCTGCAGTCAGCTCCACAGGTAAGGGGCGTTTACCTTCGGGACAAATTGAGTTTGCCATTTGGTCATTTGCTGACACGTCTGATTGATTGACAGGTTGCAACAAAAAGAGAAAGCTGGCAGCAAGCGGCAGCGGTGTTCTGTGTTTATATGTCGTTAATAAAAAGTTCTAAAACATAAAAAAACAGGGAGTGCTGGCCCTGCAGCCCACACATCAGACCAGCCCACCAGGAAATCTTCAGACCCTCCCGCAGCCACGCTGGACATGATTTTAATTCTCTTGTGACAAATTCCTTAGTTTGTCACAATTTCAGTCATGGCGTCAACAGAGGAGGAGGAAGAGATCGATTGCCTCTTGAACAAAGAACAAAAGAAAAGGCCATTAAACCAGACCAGGGATGAAGAAGGGAATTTAATAAATTGGTGTTGCAAACAAAACAGTCTGTCGCCGGGCAGTTTATTGTGCGACACCGAGTACACGGTGGTAAAAGTTGAGCTTTGCACAGACATGCCCTGCAGGCGTCCGCTTCAAGTCTAATACGGTACGCACGGACTGAGGTCCGCCCGAGTCTGTGGGAGACTTCACTGAGAGTAAATTTCACCTTAGCAGATGCTTTTCAGAAAACTCTGTAACCAAATTTAAAGATTCTCTTCAATCAATGTTTTCCTCTGTCTTGCAGAGTAATGTACTTTAAAACAAACATCTAGAAAGCTGGAAAGAAAATGGCGCTCCACTAATGTTGAGGAATCTTACTTATCCTGGAGAGATAGTCTGCTAACATACAAAAAACACTCTGTAAAGTTAGAACTTTATATTATTCATCTTTAATTGATGAGAATAAAAATAACCCCATGTTCTTTTTCAGTACCATAGCTAGTCTAATGAAAAATCCTATCTTTGTTGATTCATGTATCTCTACAACTATAAGCAGTGGAGACTTTATGAGATTCTTTATAAATAAAATTGTTTCAATTAGGGAAATAATTCAAACCAACATTCCTACTATCACCTCTGGTTCTGTGTCAGATGTGATCATGTTTTAAAATGTCACTAAAACCTGATTTATGTTTGGACTGTTTTTGTCCTGTTGTAGTAGTCACACTAAACATCCAGTGAGACGTTGAAAAACAGTACAGAAGTCATCAATCGTTGTTGAGAAGCCTGATCTCTAAAGGGATGAATGAGTTTTTCAGTCTGTTCATTCTAAATGTGGGCAGAAGATACCTGCGTCCAGATGGAAACAACCAGAACTCACCATGGAGTGATGATCAGGATCTGCCAGAATCTACCTGGCCTTGTTCACTGACCTCATCTTGTGTAGGTCAGTGAGGTTCTGCAGATCAGTGAGGTTCTGTAGGTCAGTGAGGTTCTGTAGGTCAGTGAGGTTCTGTAGGTCAGTGAGGTTCTTTAGGTCAGTGAAGTTCAGTAGGTCAGTGAGGTTCTGTAGGTCAGTGAGGTTCTGTAGGTCAGTGAGGTTCTTTAGGTCAGTGAAGTTCAGTAGGACAGTGAGGTTCTGTAGGTCAGTGAGGTTCTGTAGGTCAGTGAGATTATGTAGGTCAATAAAGTTCTGTAGGTCAGTGAGGTTCTTTAGGTCAGTGAGGTTCTGTAGGTCAGTGAGATTCTGTAGGTCAGTAAACTTCTGTATGTCAGTGAGGTTCTGTAGGTCAGAGAAGTTCTGTAGGTCAGTGAGGTTCTGTAGGTCAGTGAGGTTCTGTAGGTCGGTGAGGTTCTGTAGGTCAGTGAGGTTCTTTAGGTCAGTGAGGTTCTTTAGGTCAGTGAGGTTCTGTAGGTCAGTGAGATTCTGTAGGTCAGTAA